GAAGAGTCAGTGCAAGAACCTGCCGCTGGGACTCGTGTGCGAAGGGTTTCCACTGGCGCCACTGGGAAGACTGTAGATGCCATCAGCAGGAGCCATGAAGAAAGGGGATTGAAGGCACTAGGAAGATGGAGCCCGGCCCAGCTCCAGACCCACAGTCAGGGGGAGAAAAGCTCTGAAGGAGGCACCCCAGAGACAATGCCGTGACCCGGAGCCTCAGGAGCGCTGCATTCCCCAGGCAGCACTGGCAGGATTCCAGCTGTGTGAACTGTCCCTATGCTGCACTCCTGGGGCGCAGCGGGCTAGCACACCAATGACGTGGGGGACTGGGTACTCGCAAAGGGGTCCCTGGCTCGCAGAGGTTACTAGGTGGCTGTGTCTTGCTGTCAGCCAGCGAGAACTGTTCTGGTGTGGCAAGGCCACTGCTCACTCCCCCTGACAGACAGCTCAGGAGATTGCCAGACAGCTGGAGCATGCTCTTCTCAGCAGCGCTGGGGAGACGGGAGTTTCAATCACTCAGCTTTTCTGCTGAGATCCCACGTCCTAAGCACCAAGACATCAGGGGAGAAGCGGAGGGGGTGAGTTAGTGGCAGGCCCAGTGGACAGTGGGGTTGCCAACCTCCAGGATTGGCCTGGAGTCTCCAGGAACTAAAGATGAATCTTTAATTATAGATGGTGTCATGTGATGAAACCTCCAGGAATATGTCCAACCAAAATTGGCAACCCTAGTGGGCAGCAGCTGAGCAGGCTCGGAATAGCTCCGATGGAGCAGGCCCCACCAGCTCCAGCTCTAGCTCTCGCAGCCGCCTGCCAAGGCCTGGAGGCAGAGGGACGAGCAGAGCGCTCGCAGGCTCCCAATTCCCAGCCGCAGCTGGCCAGGAAGCAGCAAAACAAGCAGGGCTCTGCTTCCTCTGCAGCTTCCTTAACCTCAGCCCCCGAGTCAGCATTGCTGCAGTCAATGGGGAGCGAGCAGGCCTGGGGGTGCAGGCCCAGCTGGGGCTGTGTGCGGGGTCAGGGGAAGGGCACACACAGGGAGAATCACCTGACCCAACCCCAAGGCTGGGTGCCCGGATCCCCTGCCTGGACAGCAAGAATGCCGTCTCCCGGGAGCCCTGTGGCCCCTCCCTGGCCTGGCCCCACTCAGGTCGCCCGCCCAGCCCCTCTGCTCCCCATATCGCTGCCCCTCCACCCCCTCTTCATCCAGCCGCCGCCTCGCACCTCTCCCTCTGGAGCACATTCCAAAGCAGCCTGCTGGTCCCCAGAGACCAGGGGCCCAGGGCCGGCTCAGCTTGCACCGAAACCTGAGAGCGGCTCCAGGAGATGCGAGCGAGAGAATGTAAGGTGGATTGGATGGGGGGTGCCCAAGGGGGGGCCGGATGGGGACTGGGGGCTACCGAAGGGGCTGGATGGGGAAATGGGGGGCTGGATGGGAGCTAACTGGGGGGTGGGGGCTGAGGGGAGCTGTGTGTATTATGGGGGGGGTCCCCCAGTTAGAGCACCTCCAGGACATTGAGCCTGCCTCTTCCATCCACAGGTGTCGTCATGCTCCCCCCGCTGGTTCAACAGCAGGATGTGTGGAGGCACCCCAAGGCCGATAGCTTGGCAGAGTGGAGAGGAGCTGGCGGGCAGCCAGGCCTGGGCCTTCCCCCACTGCAGCTGGGAAAAAATCACTGCGGCAGCCCTTCAGCCTCCCCTCTCCCCCTCCTCCTGCCCCCGCCCTGCGGATGGGGGAGATCGGCTCACCTGCCCCCTGCTCTGGCCCCTCCACAATGGTTGTGAGTCCCGCCTGCCTCAGCATCCTGGGGTCATGGTTAAGTTTGTCTGTCCTTTCTTGGCACAAGGGGGAGCAATTCCTTCAAATTGCCCTGCGCCATCTGCACCAGAAATGAGCCCCCCCCCTTTCAGGAGAGCCTGACAGCCCTGCTCTCCCCCAAGCTGGTTCTGGGGTGATCCAGGAGGCCCCCACCAAGCTGACAGCCTCTGAGTCAACCTCCTTCCCCCTGAGCCTCAGCTGGAGCTGAGACCCACACGAGCTCCCTGATGCCCAGGGATCTCGGGTAGGAGCAGGGAGGTAACTTTCCCTCGGTGTTTGGCACTGGTGCCACCACGGCTGGAACACTGTGTCCAGTGCTGGTGGCCCCAATTAACGAGGCGTGGGGAGAAACTGGAGAAGAGCCACAAGAATGAATAAAGGATTAGAAACTTGCCTTCCAGTGAGAGACTCGGAGCTCAGTCGATTTGGGTTAACAAGGAGGCTAAGGGGTGACTTGAGGACAGCCGATAAGTACCTAGCTGGGGAGCAAAACATTGACCTTCACTCTAGCAGACAAAGGTCTCACACGCCCAAGGGCTGGAAGCTGAAGCTAAGCAAATTCAGATGGGAAATAAAATGCCCCTTTTTTACAATGAGGGCAATTAATCCTTGGAACAGTTCCCAAGGGCAGGGGTGAATTCCCTCTCGCAGGCCAGTTTTAAATCCAGACGAGCTGGTTTTCTGAGCTCTGCTCTAGTTCAACCAGGAATTCGTTCAGGGAAGGCCTCTGGCCTCTCCCCCTGGCGGGAGGTCAGACTAGGCGATCACAATGATCCATTCCTGCCCTGGCTGCTGTGGCTACAAAACACCAAGCGATCTGGGGCCCAGGCTGGGCTCTCCAGGTGCGGGTTGTACCTGCCAGGCTGATCCCTGGGTAAATGGCACTGGCTAGTGCTGCTACCTTTGGCCAGGGCAGCCTGGTGGGCTGCTGTGCTTGTACTGTAAACTCAGACTCGCCCTGCCCGCGCCCTGCTGGAAACTGCGTTCACAGAGAACATTCAAACCCCCTCTTCCATCTATACGACTAGCAGAGGCCAGAGCTCCTGGGCCATCCCCTGTAGCACCTCCTGCTGGGAGACAGGGCCGGCTCTGTTTTTGCCGCCCCAAGCAGCGCGCCGAATTGCCGCCCCGGACGGCGGGGGCAGTCCATGTGCCGTTAGGGCGACACGCGCGTTTCCGCGGCGGCGGCAATTCGGCAGCAGCTTCTGTCTTCAGCTGGAAGACAGAAGCCGCCAAATTGCCGCCGCGGGCAGCTGAACATAGAAGCTACCGCCAAATTGCCGCCGCCGCGGAAACGCGCATACCGCCCTAACAGCACACGGACTGCCCCCGCCGTCCGCAGCGGCAATTCGGTGCGCTGCTTGGGGCGGCAAAAACACACGGACTGCCGCCCCTTGCAGATTGCCGCCCCAAGCACCTGCTTGGAATGCTGGTGCCTGGAGCCGGCCCTGCCGGGAGATGCTGGTATGGGAGTAACTAACAGCTCCCCGGCAGGCAGGGCTTGGCAGTGCCTAGCGACGCTGCGACGGGTAGAACCCTGCAAATCCGCGGGTATCTGTGGACCATTTCTGCGGATAGCAGCGCGGATGTGGATAAAAATTTTGTATCGGCGTAGGGCTGTGACGGTAAGAGTCGGCGGGCAGCTGTGAGGAACCTCTCACCAATCCTCCACCTGTCCTGGGCGGGAGGCCTGGGGGGCAGGGACACTGGGCGGGGGGCTGCTTGGTTCCTCTCCCCGACCCGGCCTCGGCCAGGGGGGCAGGTCGGAGCTGCAGTCCAGCCACGGTAAGAGCCGGGCAGGCAGCTGTAGGGAGCCACGGCGGACCTTCCACCTGCTCTGGACGGGGAGCCCGAGCAGCCCCCGGGCAGTTCCACAGGTGTCCTCCCTCCCCCCGGCCAGGCCAGCCAGGGAGCTGTGGGGAGCAGTGGCAGACTCTCCACCTGCCCATGGTATGGGGGAGAGGGCCTGAGAGCAGCTCCCGGCAGCCGAGGGCAGGTGGAGGGTCCGCGACTCCGCGCGGGCTCCCCACAGCTGTCCGTGGCTTTCCCCGATTGGCTCCAGCGGGGGGATGCTTTGGAGCCTCAGCCCAGCCCCCAATGTAGAGCCCTGCAAATCCGAGGATATCTGTGGATACCCACAGATCATTTTTGCGGATCGCGGATCGGATGCGGATACACATTTGTGTATCCGTGCAGGGCTCTAGCGACGGGCACCAGTTCATGCGGCTTTCATGGATGAGCAATCCAGGATGAATGAGATACGCCATGCAGCCATGCGTGGCCCTACCATAACAACACCCCCGCTCCACAGCACCACTGTTTACAAGCAGCCCTACAGTAACTAATTAGAAGAGGCAGCCCAGGGCTAATGAGCTACCAGCAAACTGAAATCGCTGACATCAGGGGAAGAATCTGCCCCAGCCCAGCTCCCCAGTCACCCCAGTATCATCTCAGGGATGACCAATGATGAGAACCCCCCATACCTGCCCCACTCTGAGGGGGGCTGCCCCATACATCTACCCCCAGAGATCCCTCTGCCCCACACTGTCTGATTCCGTACCTGTCCCCTCAGATTCCCTGGGAGGTGCCCTGGATCGCTTGACCTCTAGGTTGGCAGCATAAGGTGCCAGGGGGCACTCTAGAGGATGCCCAGTGACTGATCTCTGCCATCCAGCATCTGACTGATGCTGATGTCAGCAGCTTTCACATTGTACCACCTCCAACTACTCACGCCCCCTCCACCCCTCATGACAATGAACACCCAGATTGAAGCTCTGTCTCCATAGCACTTCCCCATGGCAGTAGTTAGCAGCCACTCCCCCATCAGCTGGTGCGGACAGTGGCTTAGCTGCTAGTGGAGATGCGGTTCATCACACCCTTGGTGACACAGTGCCCAATGGTTGGGTCCCATCTATGCCAGCAACAGTGATCCAGCCAATGGGGGATCCATTGCTGACAACCAAAGACAATGCTAGGGCAGCTGGTGTCCTGAGCTCCCTCT